CTGCCTAGTTCGCCTTATAGGAAGCGCCGGCCCTGGGCACATCAGTCCCCGATACTCCACAGCATGACGAGACAGTCACGGATAAACAAACACCCTAGGATATCACGCAACATACTATACAGGCCAAAAATAAGGGGGGGACTATTATCTGGCAGCACAACTGGCGCAGATTGCGATGTGGCACGCCCCACTGGCGGAAAGAAAATGGGTAGACTTAGAGTCTCTCCTCATGGGAGCAGATCTACCGTAATATTTTATATGGGTCCTGAAGGAACATAGACCGATGTTGCGGATGAAATTCCAGGCAATTCTGAACTCTCTCAAGATCTGGGACGCATCCCATTTGACAAACTAAAGCTGAGGAGACATCTCACCACTGCTAACTTCTTTTATACCTACAACGTAAAGATTTTGTTCAACAACAGCACATTAGAGAGGTAGCGCACAAATCATTATCGTTCTTTGAGAGAATGTGCTTACAGGAATCCACACACAAGGGACTGATCATGTTGTTGTACGCTCACCTTTGCTCGGAGATGAAGGGCTGGGGACGACTGACATATATAGACCAGTGGGAAAGGGACCTGGGAGAGGAATTGGAGGGTGTAGAATAGCATGAGATTTGGGAAGCCAGTAATATCTCATCTATCTGTGTAACACATCAGGAGCAAACTTTCAAAACCCTTTTTAGATGGTATACCACACCAGTAAAACTATATGGGATGAACAAAGTACCAACTGATACATGCTGGAGGGGGTGCGGCAACAGGGGCACATTATCGCGTATTCATCTGCTTATAAAAATCTGATTAATGGAATTTACTGTTTAGACAGGAAAAGTTGTGCCAAGCAAGATTACTGTTCTGACAGGAAAAGTTGTGCCAAGCAGCAATCAATCCACAGGAGGGTTTGTGCTGAGCAGCAATCATGCAAATAGGATCCTGGTAATTGCCTTTGGGGTCAAAGGCCGGTTACAACCTGTCAGATCCACAGGAGGGGTATTTAGGCTCAGTTTTCCTCTTGCTCAGTGCCCTGTCGTGGTTTACCTGGTGGTTGTCCGAGAGCGCGTTATTGATTCTGGTAATTCTGGTTATTTGACTTTGGCATTGTTTTTGACTTCCCTGTTTTCTGGCATCCCTGACCCCTGGCTTTTTCCTTATCGTTGTGTCTCTTTCTGTAACCCTTGACCTCGGGCTATTCCTGACTATTCTTTGGTACGTAAGTCCGGCCATTCTAAGGTCCGGTATACGTTACCTATCAGTCCTCTATGTTACACAATTCTACGAGCTGGATCATACTGTAATCCTGACACACATATATCCACATGTGGTGGGAATGCCCAGAGACGAAGATTTACTTGG